TCTACAATCTGTAATTTTCACTAAACTGCCAAGACCATATTCTGAGAAAAAAGTAAATGGCCACTTTCAAAATTATGAGAAATTAAATATATCTACATTAAAGTACAGCTCTCACCAAACTAAACTGGCAGTATGCTAACTTTTCAGTGCACAAGACAGAATACTCTCAGGTTCCCTCAACTAGTTTTTTACATAGGAAATAATAATATAGCAGGTTTGACTTTTAAAAATAACTTTTCTTGAAACTAATTTAGGTAAATTTCAAGTGAAAAAGAAATTAAATGTATCACTCACAGACCCCTTTAACATAAACACACTCCAATTCGCAATAAATCCCAACTATGTAACTGTCAATCAACTAGGGACATGTCAAATAAGGTAAAAATATTCTCTGTCAGTTATAAAAATGAAAAAAATGGCACTGTAGTAGATTTTATTAAAAATGCTGAAACATAGCACATCTGAAGGAAAATACAGAGGTGCCAGTTTTCTTTCATCTTTCAACTACCTGGGTGAATCACAACTTAACAGCTGTTCCTCCGTATCTGTGTTCCAGACGGCCCTTGGATAGCCAAATCCTCGGAGGCTCAAGTCCCTTATATAAAATGGCACAGTATTTGCATATAACCATTACGTGTCCTCCTTTATGCTTTCAATCACCTCTATTGTAAGATTACTTATAATAGTTATACTGTGCTGTTTTCTTCATTTGCATTTTTTTTTTTTTTTGAGAAAGAGTCTCACTTCGTCACCTTTGGGAGAGTGCCATGGCATCATAGCTCACAGCAACCTCAAACTCTTGGGCTCAAGCAATTCTCTTGCCTCAGCCTCCCATGCAGCCAGGGCTATAGGTACCCGCCACAATCCCTGGCTACTTTTTAGAAATGGGGTCTCACTCCTGCTCAGACTAGTCTCAAACTCCTCTAAGCTCAGGCAATCCATCCCACCTTGGCCTCCTGTTCATTTTTATTGCTGTGTTGTTATTTTTTCCCCCAAATTATTTTCAGTCTGTAGTTGGTTCAATCCACAGTCGCAGAAACCAGATATAAAGGGCCAATTACACTTGGCACTTCCAGGAAACTATCTAGTTAAATAATCTAAGACTTACAAGATAGCCAATGCCTCTTTGTGAGGAAGCAAAATATGTGAATTCTGTTTTTCCAACTTATGGAATCATAAAAGTCAGCCTTATGTTGTTCTGTATGATCTTCGAAGTACTTCTCCTTAGACCACAGAGTCTCTATCCCAGGGGTCCTCAAACTTTTTAAACAGGGGGCCAGTTCACTGTCCCTCAAACTGTTGGAGGGCCAGACTGCGGGCCCCGGGACGAGTCAGCCGCTAAGCAGGACAGGCAGTGGCGGCAAAAACACCCGGCAGGCCAGATAAATGTCCTCGGCAGGCCGCTTGTGGCCCGCAGACCATAGTTTGAGGACGCCTGCTCTACCCTCTACCAAAAACCTTATGTGCAACAAAAGAGTCATATGACTAGAAAAGAAAAGAGAACCAGACAATCCATCAAGGAAAAATTAAGTCAACAAGCATGCACCTGTATATATAAACTCATCTGAAAATTTAAAAAAATGAACTGCACAAGAATCCAGAAATGATCTAAATCGTGGGGTGGCTCTCTTCAAAAACATTTCTAGGCTCGGCGCCTATGGCTCAACCAGCTAAGGCGCCAGCCACATACACCAAAGGTGGCGGGTTCGAATCCCCAGCCCGGACCCGCCAAACAACAATGACACCTGCAACCAAAAAAAAAAAAAAAAAAAAAAAACATTTCTAAAAGGAAAACGTTCATGATTCTCTAGTCATCAACAAAAGTGAAAATAAGTTTAAAAGTTAAAATAAGAGTACGTAAGTTCAGTTAGAAATTAATTACCATTCCTACGATTACCGGGATGTCAAATGATTTGTGACTGATTTACTCAGGTCCAATCAAAGATTAAATCTTTCCTTTGGTTAAGTTCTTAACATCTGGGTTAATAAAACAAATGTTTAAAGTACAGATGAATCCCGTCGAAGCAGGACCAACTAGAGAGCTCACCAACAGGTGCAGCAAAGTGTTTACAAGAGTTTAAAAAGCAAAAGAACGAACCATAAATGCACAGAACAAATGAGGCCCATCTCATTCAGAGAGACAAAAGCATGCTAGAACAAAATGTCTTTGATCTTTGTAGACTCAACTTGTCCCACATTATCAATCACTGTATCTTACTTCACGTTATCTACAAAAGCTGCAAACGAACTTACTACACTTTCCCAACTGGGAACAAAAGAGTAAGATGACTTGCAAAGGGAGAACGGTGCCTGGCAAAGGAAACTGTGCCAGCCCAGGGGTAGGAGGACATGCTGGCAGAGGGGCGGTCATCACTGCCACACAGCTCCAACTGATAGCTCTGCTAAGTCGCCCTAACATTCTCACTAAATCACCAAGTTAACAACTCGAACGGCTTTCCTGGGAAATGACTGTTCTACTGTAAAATCCCATTACAATGTATTCCTTAGAACATCTGGATGTACTTGTGACGCATTTTTACCTATCTGTAGAGAATATCACCAATTTTTTCTTATAATTATACATGACTCAAATATGTAAGCATAGCATGCTTCTTATGTACTATTGTTACCTAAAAAAATTATTAATTTAAATCTTTTCAGTGGAGGATCTTTTTGTTTGAGGCTTTTTACCGTGTCTGATAACTGTAGCCATACCTCCTCTACGTCTAACGACATACATTAATGGAAAAGTCTTTAGAAGCTACTTCACACCAACTATAAAAAGTCCAAATTCTTTCAAAGACATTTTTTACAGTTAACTCACATCATGTGAGCTATTTACTACAGCATAGCTAAAATAGAATTTTTAATTATATATAAAGTTCCTAACGTATCACCTGCTCCCTCAATCTTCTGCCCTGAAATTCCATATCCATTCTTTCCATAGATGCTGACCTTTTCAAAGTCAATCCCTGCTATAATCCCCATAAAGCCTGAGGATATTATTCTGTTCTCTATTTTACTTTCAACTTCTCCCTCTCTCCCATCGATTTTCAATTATTTAAGTTTCTCCTTCAGAATTCCACACCTATTCTTACCACAAAATTTCCTCACGTATACCTTAACCAAATCCCATCCAATCTGTCCCCAACAAGGTCAACTATGATTTCCTTGATGCTATAAATCCAGTAGGGAGCCATTTTCAGTGCTCATTTGCCTGGCATTGGTACAACACAGATTTTATTCATGGGGCCCAGTGATACTACCACATGGGTAATTTCTTTCCTCTCCAGCCCAATTCCACTCATGCCCACCGTCCTTCTTGGCGGATTATGTTCTTTTATAAAACTAGGGCTTATGATTGCATTATGTGGTTCACCACTAAACTACCAATTCCAAAGCTAAGCACCTGTCCATAGTTAACACTCAGTAACACATATAACCGCCTGAGTTACTGTCACCCAGTACATGAGCTGTTATCACTATAATAGATTCGTCACCACAAGACGAACCAAGTAGATGCTCTAGTTCAAAGAGGTGTGTTTTCTCAGGGCCCAAAATGCCTTGTTAGAAATTTCTAAATACATTCAACATACAGCCAATTTTCCATTCACTTAATCTAATAAGGTTAAGTGAAATCTTCAAGTTTTTTGTTCTTTTGGTTTTGAGACAGAGTCTCAAGGTGTCACCCCAGGTAGAGTGCCAAAGCATCATAGCTCACAGCAACCTCCAACTCTTGGGCTTAAGTGATTCTCTTGCCTCAGCCTCCCAAGTAGCTGGGACTACAGGCCTGCCACAACACCCAGCTATTTTTTTTGTTGTTGCAGTTGTCGTGGTTTTAGCTGGCCTGGGCCAGGTTTGAACCAGCCAACCTCGGTGCATGTGGCTGGCACCCTACCCACTGATCTACAGGCACCGCCCATCATCAAGTTTTGAGAGCTAATTACTCTCAAAATGGAGAAAACCAGACTATCACTGGTACTACACAACTATGCATACCCTAATCAAATAAAAAATGTGTCACTTCGATCAGCATGATCTTAAAGAAAAAAAACCAAATATTTAAATAGCAGCTCTGGGAGAAAAATACCTAGCCTTTATCCTACACTCAGCAAAGACCTATGATATGAGAGCATATCAAAAGAAAATATTTAATTCAAACTTGTTTTGCTCTACCCCAATACATTAATTTTTCAGATACTAGCAACCAGCATCTATAACATCAGTGAGTCCTGCTCAAAAAAATGCCAGAATTTCCATAGTAGAGAACTAAAGGGCTGCATTCTGGATAGCATAGATTTAATTTAAAACTGAGTGTGCTTGGCCAACACACTATTTTATTTAACTTGTATATTTTATTTATAATGGCTTTCGAAGAATGATGGAAATTACACCAAAGGGATTAGAGCCTCCCCAAGGTATTATTACAATTAACACAAACCTTTCATTTTAAGTAAACCAAAAATGTATTAATAAAGTTAGAACTAATAGCAAAAGATACAGCAGCCATTTTTGCATTATACGTTTCATAACAATCAAACAAAAGATGTAACACACTTAAATATTACAAGGATAAGTATACAAACTGAAATCGTGTTTCGATTTTCCAAAAGATTTATCACGATGAACCAAACACTTGAACCTTCTAGATTTTAAGAACATGCTATAATAATATTTATATTTATAAGCGGAGCAAGGTTAAGGAGGAAGAATTCCCAAAAGATGCCATGGAGGCATGAACAGGGGAATTTATTCCTGTCTACTACTCTATAAAAATGAAATCAGATGAGAAAGAAGAATTTCAATGAGCTTACAAGAAGAGACAGGATTAAAAAGTACCTTAAGAACTATTATTTATAATTTTATTGCACAGGTCATTTGTAAATATGAATGTTAACCTAGAACACAGCACTTAAAATTAACATTGTATAATATATTACACAATTTCTACACCAAAAACTGACAATACAATCAGTTTTAAAATTTGGGTATTACCTTACCTTATACAACTGTAATGTTTAAAAGTGCTGGCAGCTTTCTGACATTCCAGGCACAACTGAATAGCTCCTGGGTAGTCTTCCTCCTTAGGGTGACAATGACAGAAGTCACTAGACTAGAAACACTTTTTTTCTTAACACCTCCCATAAAAAACACACCTCTGTTCATACTTCAACCGAAAGTTGCAGCATCAGAGAATTTTAATTCCTCTTAAACAGAGACTAGAACACAGATAGATAAGAAATAAAATACAAAGGGACAACTAGTTCTAGGCCTAAAATATATGTATAGAAAAAATATTTAAAATATTCTTTTCACTCAAATACACAGTAATAGTCCTCTGAGACCACGACTTAAGAATAAGGCTTATTTAAAATTATAAGCTGGTTCACAGGGTAGGTTTTAACTGTTAATACATCTTCTTTCGTAATGTTTAAATGCTCCAAAACAGTATGCATTCTATTTGTAATCAATATTCAACAGTTCTCCTATCAAGAAATCAGTACACAGTTCCAAGGAAATAAGTTTGGGGAAAAGTAAAATATTCATTCATAACCTCAGAATATTTTTTATCCCCTAACAGCAATTTAATGTCAAATGAATTTTTCACATGGATTTCTCAAACCCTAGTTTAGTAGGAATAGTTTAGAAGTAATGCAACAATTATACAGAAAAGCACAACAAATTTTCCCTCTGCTCATATCTAAATTCAACACATGCAATTCAAATCACTGAGGAGGCTGAGATAATGACAGAGTACCTACCCTAAGGAGTTCAAGTATTATGAGGAAACACACATATTATATTATGCTTTGGTGAACTTTATGACAGCAGACAGAGAACGCTAAGAAAGCATCAAAGAGAAAACAGATGGCTCACTCAGAAAGCCAATTAACGTATGATACCAAATATAACTAAAATATTGCATCTTTCTTAAATACTATTTTTTAGATGCAAATGATCATTTTACTGCTATTTGACTGCAATACAATGAAAAGGCTAAGTTTACAATTCCAGTTTAATATAAAGTAAATATTTCCCAAAATAAATGTGTTTTACCAAATGAAGTATATATTATATACACTAAAGGAAGGATACATTATGTTATGTCAACAGAAAAGGGGCCTAAAGCAGACACTTTTACATATCTGAAAGTGCTCTTTATACTACATATCAATTTGAGAAAAATGCATATTGGTTTTGTCTACTATAATGTTTCTATGTATTATTATTACTAGATCACCAAATTTCCAAGTTGTATTAACTTACCTCTAGCATTTCACTTAAGCGTACATCTGTCCTTTGCTAAGAAAACAAAAATCAAAGGTAAAATCTGTTTCAACCACAAAATTAAGTTTTAATGTTTAAAAAGTGACCTGTATATACCAATGTTTTTATAGTTCTCAGGGATTTCAGAAGTCCAATCAGCAACTGACGTTTCCTCTGATTTGCAAGAAGGCCTAAACTAGCTTGAGTAAAACCTTCTTTCGCAACATTCAAGTGTCTGCAAAAATGAACAATAAATAGTTAAAATTTCCTACTATCCACACAGAAAAATCAGGCAACTAATGAGGCAGGGACCCAGATCACTAAAACTGGGGATTGTGGCCACTACTATGTGACAAACTTATTAAAGGCTCAGTCTAGACCAGCATTAATCAAAACATGGCAGGACTAGTGCCAATCCATAAATTGCTAGTGGTCCAAGAGAGTACAGAAATGGAGATAATAAGCATTTAAAAACACTTAGGGCAAAAGCAGAATAATTTTATTCTTTGAGACTCTAATAATTTAAAAACGTAAGACTATATTGTACGTCTGGTTTCTGAAATTTCACTTTCTAGTAATTGTTTTTTACTGCATTTCACAAAAATAACAGCCTGTGACAGAATGGAAATTTAAAAAGAAAAGAAAAAAATTGCTGCTTCACCACAAATAGTTTGAAAAGCACTGACCAACGCAAAAATAGTAATTTGTAGATATTTCCCACAAGCCCTCGTAGTGCAGTGTTATGTTCACTTAATGATTTTCTAGAAACCACAGCCATGATAAAAAATCAATTATCAGTGATAGATTTCATAATTGTCCCTGAAATATTTTCCAGTTTAAAGAAAAAAAAATTTCCAAAAAAAAAAAAAAATCAAAAGCAATACCTTCTCCCATTTGTGCAGATAACAGCAGCTAATTGAAGACCTGTCTGTAATGAGGTAACTCTTTCAAGTTCCTATAGAAAGATTAGATAAGGTTATTGGAGGCATTTTATTTTTCCTTCTCATTCATATGATACTGTAACAGAAACTCTAGTGGGTTACAAAGAAAAGCCTGCTCAGAACACAAAATAGCAACAAAAATACCTGAACTTGAAAATTGTTAGGATATTTTTCACAAAATTATTTAAAATGACTACTTTCAATTGCTTTTTACAATGACAGGTAACGACAATATTTAGTCAGTACTGCTTGTATGAAAATCTAGACCCAACTTGTTTTAGACAGGAATAAACAAATACCAATAATATACCTGTTTCAATAGTTCTACCTAAGAGAACATCGTAAGGTAATTAAGGATATGACAAATGTGATTTCTGTTTACTAAGATGCTTTGACAATGAATGCCTTCATTTGAATACTGGCAGATATTTCAAAGGATTCTGAAGGCTCTTATTTTCTAACGAAAACATAGATTCAGCTAGACAGTTCCAAATGTATCATGTTTTCTAGCCAGACTGTTATATTGCCATTTAGTGGTCATTACTGCTGATCTATATGTTTGTTACAAAGTTCATGGAAGCAATTTCACTGGCTCCTCTAAAGTTTGAAAAAACAAAAGATTACTTTAGAATCATATAGAACAGCTTTTCACTTCTTCAGTTGGGCAAATTCTCCCAAATGAAAGAGAAAAACTGATGTATACATACACCCACACACCAGAAAGAGTCACTGCATTGCTATAGAACTATGGACAGAATAATTGCAATATCCCAACAGTTTCAAGTATAAATCACTCAACCATTTTTTACATGTACTATAAAAAATAACAAATATTATCCTACCTTTACATAAGCAGGCTGTTTTTCAAGGATTAAATCTGCTACTTTTTTAGAGACCTATAAGAACATGCAATCAAACAAAGGAAGTAAAAGAAAAGGCCTCATGCTTCCTATTACATTTTATATTTTTATTTTTTACAAGAATATCCCATGGGTCTTCCAAATAACTTCTAGAAAAGATAGTGGCATGCTATAGCCATACACACTTCCCCAGGCTATCGAATTAGTACAAGAGGTAGTATGATAAAGAACACAGCAGAGCACCTAGTCCTTAATAGAAACTGCATAAGTGATCGTTACTGTTAATAAATGAGTGTCACTATCTGATTTAACTAACATGCATACAGGGTAACCATTTTAAGCCTATGTAGAATTTGACTTAAAAAGATGAATCTGTTAAGGAAAATTTTTGACCAATTGAATTTATAGAGATGATAAAAACAGAACTTGCTTGTGCCCTTTAGATTATTTATAACACATAAGAAGACACGTAGGTCAGCCCACTACTTCTGAAAAGTTGAAAACATGATTTCTGGAATGCTATATCTAAGGGATCCCACAAATAATGTTAATGTGCCCAAGTGAGAATTAAGAACGATTTTGAACATTAAGGCCCTATTCCGCAATTTCAGGGCCCCTGTCAACTACAGATACCACAGCTAGCATGAAGCACAGCCCACTGAAGGTATTTAGTGAATCCTCAAGAAGCCAAACTGGCTTCTTTCCCCAAGCCCACTGGGATTAAAACATTGCACACACATTAAATTACTGCATTAATCTGTTCACACTTTCTTAATCTGCTTCAAACATCTTTGAAATTATGTGAATTAATTTCTAGGTAGACTCATTATTTTTGTCTGGAAAGAGGGATTTCATTAAGATTAAGGAAATCAAACTTTAAATAGCTTTGAGACATCAATCAATGAAGAAATATCAACTGTAATCCTAAATATCATTTTAAGAATTCCAAAGATCCCACAGGACTGTCTAGTAATAAATTAAGATAATACAACCCCTGTAAGAACAACTCAAATAGGAGCCATGATTAAGAAAATAAAATCAGTAAGTTCGCACTCTGTACCATAATTTTGACATATATGAATTTGTATAAATGCACATAGACACCACCTGATTTTACTAAATAGGGTTAAAAAATAGATGACGCAGTTACTCTGTGCTCCACCAGCAGATATTACTAACAGCTTTTCCTCCGTCATCCCGATTAGGTCTCAGACAATCCAACCAGACGGGTTCCACATTTTCTCATTTTCCTGATGAGCAGTCTTAAAAGCAATGGTAACTCATACACAGTCCAGCAGTTAATTAGCTGCAAGGCCAGGATTCAAGGCTAGGTTTATGAAATTCCCAAGGCCACCATGTGGCCTTCAGGTGGGCCTAATTCCCCAAAAAAATACTATCACATGAGATACACAATGGAAGAGTACTTTAAAATGTTGAAGCCAAGAGAAGGTAAAAGATACCACCAACCACTGAAATCTCATTCTCCAAAGGGACATTCCATTTTTACTACCCAACCCCCTAGAGCTCAAGCCCCTTCCTTCCTTTGCCCAAGGCTGCCCTATGCTACTGCTGCTACTCTGGCACCCACTGAGTCTTCTGGGTGCAAGAGAAAAGAGACATCGTCCTTTATTTGCCAGATGCATTATTAAAAATCATATCATAAACTCAGATAAATCTATGACTATTGCTTTTTTTTAGCTGAAAAACTTAATAAGATCACATTAATCTTCTACAGTGAAGTCCAAATTTCATAAAGTGAGTTCAGCCTAACGTGAAGGAAACAACAGAATTACAGAATGTTATCACATCAGAGAAAAACACAGGCTTAACCTACCACTTTACAAACGGAACAAAAGAGGCTTCATAAGGTTAAATGACTTGCCCACTGTCACTGTCAAACAGTAACGACAACTCAGACTTTCCGAATCTCAGCCCTCATTCTCTTAGAAAAATTTCAACTAGAAGTGGGGGCCTTTATTCCAATATAAGAATATACCATTACAGAACGATGGTTGTGTAGTTATATACCATGATGAGGAGCCTAAAGGTATTTACTAATTTTAAAAGGGGTCAAAGTGCTTTGATCATGTTTAAGATTCCAGAGAGAAAACTCCAAGTTCTAGAAGCAAATCTATCAAAACAACATAAGGAAAACCATGGGCACTAAATTGTAATGTACATATAACACTCGAGTCAAAGTCATAATAGAGAATGAGATTAGTTTCTATGTTAATATATTAGTTAAAAACCACAAATCTGCAAACATTCCACCTCTCTGTTGTGTTTCATTTACTGTTTTGTCAGAAAGAAATGTGGGTTTGTTGTTTGTGTTTTTTACTTACTGCAGCTTGCTGTTGTTTCAGCTTGTCTCTGTACTCCTCTAATTCTTGCAAATTGAGAACAGGTGGAAGTTTCTACAGAAAAAAATTCATAAATGAAGAGTGAAAAATAAATTAATTCCGTTTCATTTATGTGGATACCTCTGACTAGCGAACTAGAATCTGTGCATGCTAAACAGTGTCACATCCCACTGTCCTCCCCGTTTCCTGTCCTCCCACCTTCCTCCTGAGACTCCAGCCACTAAAGCCAACACATCTTTATCATATGACACGTGGTTGCATCCCTCACCCAGCCTCCTCCGAGAACCCCCTCGACCACGGGAGCCCCGGCCCCTAAGGCTGGAGAAACTGCTTCCAGGGCCTGTGACTGGAAAATGTCAAAAAGTCCCTAACGTTAGTCCTCACTCCACCAGCACAGATATACCCTACTTGCCTATGACAGAACTCAGAAAAGATTTCCCATCCAAAGTCTTATGGAAGGTATGCACTGCACTGTGGCAGTGGCAGTTGATGGACCACATTCTCCAGTGTTCAGAGGGCAGTATGGGAAGCCAACCAAAATGCATCCCAGTGTGTAGATGAAGAAACAGACTCCAGTCAACTGACTGATGAACCTTCACCATGGCTTGGGGATTGGCTGACCTGGGAGGTACTATCTAAAAATATGTGTGCATACAGCATTTGCTTTTATCTAAAAATGAATCTTACTATTCTGAATGTCCTATAAACTTGAAATGCCAATGTTATAAACAATATGGCATAGGAATTTTTATCATGACTAAACAATTATATACACACTCAAGAGAAAAGTCTTAGAACTTTTCTAAACATATTCTGCCAAGATAAAGTATACTAACCCACTGCATGCTAACCATCAAAAACCAAAAATATAGAAATGTTTCCCCTACCAATATTCTTCGATTGTACTAGAAGTTACCTTTTTTTTTTTTTTTGCAGTTTTTGGCCAGGGCTGGGTTTGAACCCACCACCTCTGGCATATGGTACCGGCACCCTACTCCTTTGAGCCAAAGGTGCCGCCCTAGAAATTACGTGTTAAAAGATAATTTCATCTTTAAGCAATGCCAACAGTTCATTTAATCACAGCATGATAATCACAGACCTGTTCTGTCTGGTACCAAAAAGTACATAAATGTACCCAAATTCAAATCTCACAAATTCAGTCACTAAACAAAATGGGCTTTAAATATATTTTGATGATTTTTTTTTTTTTACCTCCAGCTCATATTGAACAATATCAAATGAGTCCGCAGAAAAATATACTTGTTCAATACTATTAATAAGCTCTTGTTCAGCTTGAGGGTCACATGGCTGTTCTCGAAGTTCCCTGAATTCTTCCTTTAAGAAAAAAGAAGCCACAATTACAGCACCTGTAGATTTTAAAATTTCATCTGCTTGGAAATAAATGATCATCTACCTATGTGAACAGTCACATATATTCTGGGAACCATTCTCACCAAGGATACAAACTAATAGAAACCAGAAAAGTTCAAGGAAAATTAAGAAATAGCCAAAGACTAAAAACTAACTCATCTATTGGAGAAAAAAAAAATAGCCAGTTCAAAAATTCAGATTTTATTCCTTGAGTGTCAACAAAGTTGAAAGAATTTAAACGTTTAACGAAAGGAAAAAAGTGACTACCTAAGACACATATTTCACATAGCTACATCTTGCCATCTAACAATGTTCTAAAATCTGCCTCCCTACAACAAATTAGGGAAGAACACCTCGTGACTGCTAGGCCACAATGAGGATTGGAACCCTGAGCAGCAGACTCCCACCTCTGCTAAAAAATCCATGTTCAGCTAAGAAATACTAGCTCCCAAAAAGGGTCCCAAGTTCAGTTCTGTAATCCTCCAAGGCTTCCTGCATAGCTGCAATTAGTGACCTGATCATATACGTAAAGTTCTGTATTTTATAAAATGCTTTCTTTCTAACAATATGGCTTCAGTGGATTTATACAACAAGAAGGAGCTTGACAGACAAATCTCTAGCCCTGTGTCAGCATCCTTATCCTATACAATTTCACTGCATAATAAACTTGTAGTTAACTGGAAAATTTTAATAGTTCAGGTACCCTGTCCCCTACCACCCCAGTTAATTAAGACATTATTATAGACATAAAACAAGTTAGCCATTTGATTTTTTATTCAATTTAACCTCAAATGCATTTATGTACACAAAACAATAATTATAATTTAAAATCATTTTATAGTCGTTAAAATACTTAACAAAAATACTAATTAAATGCACAAAAATTATCTGGTCAGTTAAAGGATATTATTTTCCAAATAGAGATAGTCTAGATTATTTAATTACTAGGCATATTTTACATTTATAAAAAGAGCCTCGCTTGGGTATCTTTCAGAGTTTAACTTAGATATTTGTGAAATTATTAACTATAAGTAAGTTCAAGCTAAAAAAATTATAACTACATCTGAGACTAAAGAGAATAGATAACTGTTTAAAATTTAAAATTCCAATACCTTTTAAAAAATTCTAATACATTTAAAAGAGAAGGCAAAGTCAGACCAAAAAATCAAGCCTGCATAATCAAAACTGCTTGGAAAAGAAAATGCCTCTTTTCTATGAAGCTAATGTATAAAATACACTGACAAGAAATAGCCAAACATATGGTCATCACTGATTCAACATGCAATTCAATTCTATGAGCATAGTAAGAAACCCCGGGTCCTAACAACAGGAGCTGCACTCTGCTGGAGGTTTACCTGTAACACACTAATCCACTTAGCATCCCGGACAGTGGTGCTGATGCACAGACTTGGATTAAATCCACACCACTTGTGCAAGGGAAGGTCCCCAACTAGCCAGTAACAGGCAACCTCCAAACCTCCACGCACCCAATGAAAATAAGAAATAACAGTGAGACATAAAACAGAAGCAGAGGTCAGAAATTCCCGGCAATCTCCTCTGAAAGTCCACAGGCATTTTAAAATACCAGCTCTAAATGCCACAAGCCGGGGGAGAGAATAAAGCCCGCAGGGGGAGACGGCAGTGTTGCTCCCTACAAACTGGGCAGCGTCCTGAGCAAGTAAACTCAGGTGACACCACAAAAGAAAAAATATTTCAAGATTTAAAATATTAAGATTTGAAAAATCAGATACAGAGCCATGCCAAAAATTCAAATAGACTCCAATTATTACTTCCATCTTAAATGTGTAAATTGCCAGTGACACATAACACCATGCTGAGGTTCTTCATAAAGTAAGTAGGTAAAGACACTTAAGTTTTAACTGCAACTCTGTCAACTGGGCAATTTAGTCTCCTCATGCCTAGTTTTTATCACCTGTGAAAGACACACACACATGCGTGCACACACACACATGCTCTCATAATAGCAGGGAAACAAATATCTAAGGTTATCAAGAAAGCCAGAGGCAAAACGTGATTTCATTTATAAATATCTCTCAAGCATACATTTCAAAAATGCGACGTATCTGTAGAAAAAGTATTATCTGTACACGTATGTAAAAGGGCAAATGCTATTCTTTCTTAGGGAAGTAAGCGATTCGTATCACAGAGAGCAGATAAACCCATATAATTTCAAAGAACTGACATGAAACACTTGATTCTCTGAGTGTAAGAAACCTGGACTAAGGAGAGGAATAAAACCTAGAAAGGCAGGGAAAAAACGTAGCACACAAAACAGAATTCCAAACCAGTGCCAACACTGTATGCCTATAAAATGCCCTCTCCTTTCAGACAATTTGGTAGTTTCTATGTGAAAATATACATCTGAACTCATTCAGGCAAACTCCACTCTGCCTGGAATCCAGATCGTCCTGTTCTTGTTAGTATTATTGCATTTGCAGTCCGTGAGAATCTGCTTCTACTCGTTCCCCAAACAGTTCATCAGTGTGAGAGCTGCCTGCTCAATTAAACTACATATTTCTTGAGAACTGAGATTTCTCCTTATTCTCCATCATTATGTTCCGTAGTGCCAAAGTACAACATCGATAACAATCACTGATCAAGCTAAAATTAATTTACACAGCTAATAGTACAAAACAAGGAATACAGGACAAAATGAAAGGAAAAGATAATGTGTTCTGGTTCTGACAAATTTTCCACTAACTCTTAATAAAAGGTTTCTTTCCTTTAACTAGAAAAAAACAATAACTGTTAAATGATTTAGGAATATTTTATGCATGCAAATTAGAAAAATAAACAGCAGCAACCAGATTGCATATTCTTAACACAATTACTCTGTAATTTAATATAAACTGATTTCCTAGGACTAGAGATGTAGAAAAAGACACAGTTCTTTGCCTAAAACAGAATTAATTTGGCGAGCCAATACACAGGCGTGAAACAAAACTTTACAGAAAACAAAATGAACAAAAAACTTCCTACAAAAACATTAAAAGGTAAAACCAGGGGAAAGAATACCAAATGAAATGTCCCATACCCTATTAAAACATGATTTAAGAAAAAAAAGTTACAATAATATAAAATATTTAAAAGCTAAGTTTAGGATAAAATTGCAGTCTTGCCAACCTTTGTTATATTAATAACACGGTTTTTACAGTAAATTTTGTGTCACATAGTAAGTAACTAATAAGTACAAATTAACAATAACAGAGGCATCAATGTTCTGTAAAAGTTGAAAATGCAAAAATGATTTATCAACAGCCACAGACTATCAAACATGCCACAACCTGCCTGCCAACGGCAATCCACTACACCTCAAATAAAGCACATAAAGCCCATCAATGCTATCCTAGAAGTAGGGCTGCAGAAAACTATAATTAATGGATTTAACTGCAGAGGAGGGAAAATAAAAGTACAAAAGCCAAAAAGGAACAAACCAAAGTCCTCTCCCATCCTATCATTTGGAAACTAACCAGCCCTGGCAAAATTCTAAAATTTTACCATTCAACATAATTCCACTTAACACATAATTTTTTAATTCCCACCCTGTAAAAATTCCCCAGACTAGGTCATATAGAAACAAAAATGAGTAAAATACAGCTTAGCTCTTCCTTCAAACAGTCTCTGAAATAATAGGAAGGTCAGATGTATAAGTAAATAATGACAACGCCAGGTCAAACTGAAGGAAGTATAAACAAAATGAAGGGTGAGTTCACATTTGATGAAGAGGCAGCATTTGGAAACCATAAGAACAGGCACAATGTCAAACTTAAAAATTGGGGAAACAGGGTTACAAATATCAAGCAAATCCTAAGTAAAAACATTATATAGGAAAAGCGTACAACAGGTTTAAGCAATAAAGGACGGCTCACCGCAGGGAAGAAGAATGTCACAGGGGAGAGCCTGCATGGACACCAAGAGGCAATAAAATGCAACAATTGAGATTTTTTTAAATCCAATATGTTTTGATATATATTAGAACCACATTTCCTTTTACCAAAAAGAAGGTATCTTAACACAAATCACTGTCCCAGACGCTGTATCAAACACAGTCAATATTTCCTTAACATAATAAACCCAGCAGGATTATTTTAGGAGAGCGGCAGACAACAAAGAAGTGATTCAATATTTTAGAGGCTGGTTTTTCCAGCAGTCACAACACACCGTCAGGATGCACAGACTGCTACCTAGGCTATTTTTCTCCTTTGATCATCTCAGAGATAAAGCTACAAGAACATACACATAAAAATGTATAGCATAAATGTAAGTTTATGAAAAGTGAAGAAAAACAATCATAATAGAAATTTAAGTCAACATCTTTGATTTAGCCAAGCCACTTCTCCTCTCAACGTAACAGCAAAAGGTTTATGAGAACTGGGAATTCGAGTCCATAAAACAATTTGAGCCCTCCAATATAAAGTGCTATAAAACATTTCCGGTATATTTATGGTTTCTAAGGAACCAGACCGTATCTTTACAAAGCAATCTCTCATTTAAGAGTTCATCTCTCATGGCAATGTATTCGAGTTTCTGAAGAAAAAAAAGAAGCTACTAATTTTGTATTTAACCACTACTTTAAAATTATCCAAAATAATACACTAATTAAAAATAACAACCCAAGTTCAGGACTCTCAACTCTATTCTCTTTCGTAAGTGTAAAAAGTTAGTTATGACAGCTTAATAGTTTTCCTTACCATTATTAAAATATTCTCTTCAATTCTGAAAAGTAATTTAACCCAATTTTGAAACCCAAGAACAGCTTGGAAATTCATAATCTTCAACAGTGGGTTTTTATTCAAACAAAAAGATGAATGCAAAACTCTTCATTTCCTAGGTCAGGTTTCAAAACCCTAAAGAAAATTTATAGAACAAAAAACAAAATGCAAACCAACTCCCCCTTCTGACTTAGGTTATTAAATCACAGTTCCTTTTCATTAGAAGCTGAT